GTGCATTCAGCATGCATGCTGGGTACGTTAACTTGTGCAGCAGAGTTGGAGGTCGAGTTACCTTTTCTGTTATTTTGATTATTTTCAAATGGATTGGGTTGAAATTGAGATACAATAAAGACACTAGTTAACTGCAACGTTTTCATCGGCGTGGAGAAATTTGATACAGAGTTGCTAAATCCCTCTGTAGATCTAGTGTGAATTAATGGATCCAAACCTGAAGCTCCCAGAGATCCGGCTGGCACCAACTGGAATTTAATGACATCCGACACATTGGTTTAGTTATTCTTGTAGCAGGTAAAATGAGTATTACATGTTAATTCTACCAGCATAGAAGAAGGGGAAGAAAAAATAGTGATCCTCTTTTCAGATGAGGAGGGGGAAAAAAAACTGGTTTAAAAAAATCTTGATTTCATTTTTTCCCAAGGAAAAAGGAAGGAAGGTATGTAGATAATAGAAGAAAAAAAGGCAATGAAAGGATACAAAGAGACAAAATAAGTAGATTGTATGGAAAGAAGTAGGGTAAAGGAAGAAAAACTGTTGGAAAAATTAAATGGAAAGTGTATTCTATTTTATAAATAGAAAAGATTAAGATAGGAAACTTGAAAGGCACAGGCACATTGAAACACCAAATTCTGTGCAAAGGGACAAAAAATAAAATGAATGAAAGGGGAAGACACAATTTTAAATTGAAGAGAGAGATCACTGCATACAATATTTTTAAATAATTTATCTCTAATAGTCAGCAGTGTATGCTTGAGTTTGTACATAAGAATTACTTTGATTTTTAATGGATACAGAATAAGTGTTACCAAAAATCGCATTACAGTGATCATCAGTGTTACTAAAAACACAGGTAAGGGTTATTAATGTTTTATTTATGTAACCCTTCATTTTTATTTAATTAAAAAAAAAAAAAGCTGCAGTAAACGTAAGGGGTTTCTTTGACTTAAGCTTGCTATTTTTCATGCCAAAAAAAAAAAAAAGCCAAAGATTGAACACCATGAATTCTATAATAGCATTTTACATTTAGGAGACTGACTGATAAACAGATTAATTATATCAACATGAAAATTAATGGTATGAAGTAATGTTGTTGCCCTTAGGCATTTCTCAGTGCAGGAAGCCAGGAAGGAAACCACAGTCTTTGGTAAGGCTTGTAGATACCAGTGGCTGGTCAGCTCCTGATCCATTGCCATGCCAGCTGCACAGCATCCTCCTGGAGCCCTTTTCATGTCATTCAATTCTAATTTACCATCAGCTATCATAGCTTTACCATGCACATTCTGAAACTGGCACTGGAGGCTTGACATAGAACCACAAAAACAACTAAATTCCAAGTTAAAGCTGAAATTTCATTCTCAGTTCTCTTGCTTGTGGGGGTGCTCTGGACCATGTGGGAACGCCCAGTGTTTGAAGCCCCGGCTGGACCCACACACAGAAGAACAAGCTAAGAGTGGAATTTCGGCACATGCCTTAACATTAATGCCATGTAGCTCTTTGTGGTTTGATTTCTCCTATATGGCACTGTTAGAGGCAGAAATAAGCCAAAGTCAATCCCAGAGTTATTTTAAACTATGCTTACAAGAGTCTTGTGGTGATAGTAATAGATTCTTCTCACCCATTGTGCCTCTGAAATTTGAATTTTTCTATCCAGCTTGCCTTGACTTTGCAGTGTTGGAAACTGCTGAGGTGTTAGATTACAGATAACTTAATTTCTGAGATTCAGCCTTAAATACACAATTATTTCTTATAGTATAGCTGTCTTCACTTGAAACTCACTTTGTGGAATAGAATTAAAGAGGAAAACTCTGCTTTTTGCTCAATACATGCATTTTTATAAGCAAAATGAGCTTTCACAGTATTTTTTAAAATGTCAGGAATGTCAAATCTTTTTTATCTGAAGGACTTATTGGATGACTCAGGAAAATCTTGGAAATTAGTCAGGATTTAATTGAAGTGGGAAGGATACTGAATTGTGGAGAGAGAACTTGCTCCCCTCTGCACTCTTTAGATTGGTACTTCAAAAGAAGATTAATCTTAATTGTAAGTGATTGAATCAGCGTTTTCTTAAAAAAATTATTTTTATTTAATCTTTGGTTAGGCATTTGGAATAATGATTAGAATAGTTATTCAAACATTTATCTCTTCTAAGAACAAATGGGAGTTACGCTTATAATTTATTTTTTTTTCAAAAAACAAGAGCTTTATACTTCTTTCCGTGTATTTCCATCCCTTACCAGCTGTCTTTGGTGGGCCTGGCATCCCTGCTTATTGAAGACTTGGAGAGATACATATTGGTAGAAGAAAATAAGAGTGAATGAGAGTAAGGGATACAGCTTTTAAATGAGGTGGCAGCTGCTCTAGCTGAGCTCATGCTCATGTCCTGAAGGGTGTTCTTTTCAGGTGACAAATTTCTTCAATAGTGACAGGAGGTCAGGAATTTTGCAAAAGCTTAGAAAAAAAAGTAGGAGATGGCACAGCTGATTTATTTCTTCCTGTTTCATCCTCATTTGTGCTAGTTTTGAAGCTGATGTTCATAAGAAGTTAGCCAGGGCTGTTTTGCAAATCAGGGATGCCAGTGTCACAAAAAGAAAGGGGATTGATGTGTCCATAATCACATATTATTGTAATTCTGATGGGAATAAGTTCCTTTCCAAATACAAAGCACTCTTCAGAGTTAATATGTGAAAATGTGAACACAGAATCGCAGAATATGCTGAGTTTGAAGGGACCCATCAGGATCATCAAGTCCAACTCCTGGCCCTGCACAAAACTCCCCAAGAACCACACCATAGGCCTGAGAGTGTTGTCCAAATGCTTCTTGAACTCTGCCCGGCTGGTGCAGTGACCCTGGGGAGCCTGTTTCAGTGCCCAAACACCCTCTGGGTGAAGAGCCTTACCCTAATACCCAACCCAAACCTCCCCTGAGACAACTTCAGGCCATTCCCTTTTGGTCCTGTCACTACTCACCACAGAGATCAGTGCCTACCCCTTCTCTTCCCCTCACAAAGAAGCTGTAGACTGCAATGAGGTCCCCCCTCAGTCTCCTCCAGGCTGAACACACCTAAGCCAAGTGACCTAAGCTGCTCCATATACATCTTTTCCTCAAGGCCCTTCTCGCTCTTTGTTACCCTCCTATGGACACTCTCTCAACAGCTTAATATCTTTCTTATATGGTGGTGACCAAAACTGGTACCTTTGTATTTCAGTTAAAACTGTGGATTGCTGAAATTCAGTGTTCTGTTATCAGTAACAAAGTTAGCTTTAGACAGAATTCAGATAAATACTACAAGACTTAAGAAAATTGAAAATCCAGTCGGTTCGAACATGTTGTAGAATTTGCTTTTTACTTCTTGTCTAAACTTTTTTATTCTGTATTTATGCAGAAAGATTTCTTTTCATTACATAATTTTGGTTAACGGGTAACTGTGAAACCATTTTCCACTTTTTTGTCAATTTGCCTTTGGGGAAAAATTGCTTATGTTACTGTGAGAAGGATGTGATTTTAATAAAAATGCAGCATGTTAATACCCAGCGACCATGAAATACTCATTTGAGATTTGCAGCGTTTGTTGAATCTTCTTAACTAAGCAATTATAGAGTGACTTGTCCCCTAAAGTTTTTAAGAGTATAAAGCTACATTTGTTGCTTCATTTGGTTTATTTTTAAGCTGTATTCTCCAGAACACTCAGGTCTGAACAGCAGCAGTGCACTCGAGTTGTAGGCCATGATAGAGCTCTATACTGCAAAAAGCTTAAAGCAATTCTTTCTAAACCAAAACAAGTCTTGGCTTCAGATACTTAGAGGTAGCCCATATTTTCCTTGCCCATATAGACTATGACAGTTCTAAATCTAAATAATGAGTATTTGGGGCTTTTTCTTCTTGTTGGTTCCCTCCCACCCTTCATTGAAACCTGAGGTTTGAGGCAAGCAAACATGCTACGAGGGAGAACTAAAATTGACTACAACAGGTGCCTGTAGCCTATCATTCTGTGAAATATTTTAACAAGTCCTTCATGCTAACACAGAGGTGCAAGACATGAGATTAAATGGCAAGTTGAAGCCTTCTATTTAGAAATATAATAATATACAATATAATATATGATGGTAATTGTTCTGTGATTAATGTTCAAATACACAGAGTGTGCATTCTGAATTTTAGAGTTTCTTGTTTTCCTGTTGTCATTTACCATTTCTAAATTCTAAATTGTAAATATCTCTGTTTCACCAGGCCTGTGTTCCCTTTTGCTGCCAGTAAATGCTGGTGCTACTCATCAGAGTATTGACAACTTGTATGGTTTTGATCCTGAATCTTTCAATATTTATGAGAAGAGGGTCAAATTGGAGATTTTTTGTTTTCTAGACTAGTTGAATCTTTGCATTTGGTGGTATGATCTTTGACTCTTTTGTTGGTGTTTTCATTGCTTTTCCCATTTTTCTGACTTATCTGAAAGACAGGCCCATACTTAAACTAGAACATCATTATTCTCCCATCTTAGCAGTTGCTCCATAATTTGATAATTAACTTCAGGAATGGGTCATTTGCACGGATATGCAGCACAGTTCAGCCTTTGCTGAGCCTGCCACTAACCTGGCAAGATACTGTTTCCTGTTGGGTGGGCTTAGGTTTTTTCTTGAGTTAGTGAGCTAACTATGCTCACTAATTTATGCACTAACAATTTGGTTCAGCGAGAGCCCAACAAGTGGCAGAGCTGGCAAGAAAGGAGGTGCAGGACCACTTAGCCAAGAGCAGGGGAGTGGGAAGCAGGAGCAGCCTTTGGTGACATCCAGCCATTAATTTGGCTCACCTGTATTGTTAAAGCATGCTGTCAATGAAGCCAAAAAATACTTTGACTATCATATAAGCATGTCATTCTTTAAGACTGTGCCATAAAAGCTTTAATTGCTGCTAGCTTTTTGTTGTGGTTATCCACAAAATACTGAGGTTGATCAAGACTGAGTATAGGATTTTTTCTAATTACATCTTTGGTCTACAAATGTGGTGGACTTTTTTTCTTTTTCAGAAGGAAGATGTCATTCATGCAGACGTGGATGAAAGACTGTCTCTTCGAAAGCACCGCTTCATGCATTTTGCATCATTGGAATATGAAGGAGAATATTACATGACACCAAGAGATTTCTTGTTCTCAGTGATGTTTGATCAAGTTGAACGTAAGTTGTTTTCATGTCATTGTATTTGTGAAGGAGAAGAAACTTGCTGGTCCCCTTAGAGATGTCAGTTGCAAATTGCTGGGATGATACCCTTTATGTTACATAAATCAGCAGAAGCCAATTTTTAAATGTTGCCCATGTGGATTCTCACAGACACCACTACCCTTTACCCAAATGAAGTGAGGCTGATGATTTAGAAACTGGTGACTTGCTGATGACATCACTGCGTAATTCATGTGTCTGATCAGTATGTAGTTCCTCAATTGCTTACATGCCACAGAAAATAGAATGAGTGTGTTATAATAGTGTTCATACCACTCCTGGTACTGTTATCTTCTGTCCACTTGACCGGTGAGTAATTCGGTGACCCTTTTTCTTAGAAGAGGCAGTGATGGGAGTGAGATGAGAATAATAGAGCCCAGAGTTCAGTTTTACATTTTTGGTTTTAAATCTCCTTTGATTTTTACATAACCTAATTAAGAACAAATCAAAATCACAGATGTCTTTTCAAGAATTACTTATAAAAGTGCTTTCTGAGGAGAAGATAGGAACAGCGCACAAATAAAAAGTGGATAGATCATTGTCCTTTTCTGCAGGTTTCCTGGCTCCATTAATTCTGCCTCATTCCTTAAGCTTCTTTTGTCTTTGTCTCTTCTATTATTTTCATGATACAGTAATTTTTTTGATGATACATGCTTTTATCCTCAAAAAAATTGGGTTTTACATTTTCCCAAGATTTGGGTTTTTTTTGCTTTTGAAAGGTTGAGCTTTCCAGTTTCCAGAGAGGATTGGCACTTAGAGGACAAATACTCTGTTAGTTCATTGTCTGAGGGAAAGAGGGAGAAATCCCACCTTTAGTAGTTATCTGCTACAATCTTCACATGCTGACCAGGAGAGCATGTTGTCTAGCAAAAGCTCTTCAAAGCCTGTGATGCTCTGCCCACCTACCAGCAAATGCTGTAGTGACTTGGGAGTATTGAACTGTCTGGAATCCTTCTGACAATCCAGAAGGGAATTCAAGGTCCTGTGGAAGGGTTTGAGAGACAGGGAGGAGGAAGGAGACTGGAATGCACTTTGATTCAAGCCTGTCAAGTGGTCAAAGAATAAGACGCAAGTATCTGAAATAAAATGAGTTTTCCAGTATGTGACAAAAATCTATATGTGATAAAGATACATGAATTCACTGCTGACAAACAGCTTCTAATATTACTCAAAGCTGAATATAAATCTTTAGAAGTACTTTATGACCTTCAGAGTCACGGAGAATTTTAAAATACTGTTTTTTACTGTATGGGTATTAGACTTTGTTCCCCCTCAAAACTTAAGTCATTAAGTTAAATACCTAAAAACCTAAAATTTTGAGTTTTCCAGCCTGAAAGACAGTGAATACAGAAACATTTAGTTTTGAAGGTGTGGTTTTCAGACAGTTGTCTCTGAAGACAAGGTTAAAGAGATAAGTGTTTTTCAGTCCTAGCCTTTCATACATATTAATTGGTTACTCCAAGTATAATAGTACACATGCAGATTTTTAATGAAGTGGTATGTGGTGAAATTTATTTGCAATGCAGCCAAGTTAATTTCAGTTCCTTTGTTAATATGAGTAGGAAATAGCATTAAACAGAAACGAATAAATAATGACAAGAGAAAAAAAAACAACTTTGCTCTAATGCATATTTAGCATTTCAAATTGAGGTCAGGCTTGCAGCAGTAGCATCATAGATGCTTGGTAGAAAAATGCTGACACTTGAATCAAATGTTCCTAAATATTTTTTTAACCGTCATTGGTATGGATTCCTTGGCCAGTAGCATAAACACAATGGTAAGCAATTAATTTCTCTTGATTGGGATTTTACACTTTTATGTGACTGCAAACAGACACAGAATTTGATAGTAGAGAAATATGGCAGTTGAAGTATTTTAAAGGCAATGGTTTTATTCATCATGTTTAGAAGAGTTTCATATGAGGAAAATAAACAGACCTATCTCAAGTGTCTATCCTGTTTTATTCAGAGTAGGTCAAGACAGTGAACTTAATACCAAAGCAGCAATTATTTTGGAAGCCTTCCACTTTTATAAAAAAAATAATTATTTTTCACCCTGAACAGTGCCTTTAGAAAGGAAAAAGGTATGACTTATCCTAGAAAGCCCTTCACTTACTGCATACTTAGATGCAATTTTAACATGTGATCCTGCATACAAATGGTGAGTCCTACGATGCTGAACTTTAAGCTGTAATGATTTGGTTGTTCTTTACCTATTTTTGATTAATTGCTAATAAGTAAAAAAACCCAGACCTCTCAGCAAAATCTGAAGCACCCTGGCAGTAACCGTTCATAAATACTTGCTTGGAGTTTTCCAATTGGATGCTGTTTATAGTAATGTGGAAGACTTAGGGCTGTTCTAAAGTTTTGTTTCTGCTGTACTTTTTACAGACAATAAGCAGAAATGTACGACATGAGCAGTTTACTTGTGTACCTCAAGAAATATTGCTGAGGTTGATCTGTCCCTATTCAGAGATAAACACTCCCACAAGGGAAAAAGGGAACCAAAAAGAGGGATGAGAAACTGTTATGAATTGAGAATAGGAGACCTTGGCCAGCCAGCTTTAGGCTTTTTTTCTCATGGGTGGTTGTCACTGGAGAATTACTTTGAAACCTCCTTAAACATTGTCGAATTTAGCAGAAAGTAAATGTGTTGTGTAAACCAGATGAGTTGTTGGTGCTAGCATTAAAAAAAATACCAAAATATTTTAGCTATGTGCACTTTGTCAAGTGAATTCCTGTACATAGTTGGATGGAATTTATTACTGAAGCAAAAATCTTAGGTGTGCCCTTTGACAAGGTTGCAAAAGATGCAATAAATTATGATTTATTATGGAACACTTTACCAGATAAGAAAACAGATGAACTGTACTGCAAATATATCAGCTGTCATCCAGCCTAAGTGATCTTGAGCCCTGCCTGGTAGACCTTAGTTCACTACCTCTGGCCATTTGTTTCCTGGTACATGGGTTTCTCTATTACCCATTTTCTTTAAAGTAGGCAAAAGTTGTGAAATATAGGCATTCCTGCTAATTAAATCACACCTTCCAAGTTATTTACTGTCAGGGTGATAACAAAGAAAAATATTTACAGTACTGCCATGTAAGGAGAATGAGCTGATAACAAATGCAGAGTTTCCTGACAGACTTTTTGTTCTGCATATTGACAAAGCAAAGACCTCTCTAAAGGAATAAAGACACCATCCAAAAAAAATTTGCTTGCTTTTAGAGGCAGTGCTTCACACCAAGTTACTCTGTAAATATGTGCCTAGTTCTATTGCTGTTAGTCATTTTATGAAAGGAAGCAGCCACCTCTTTATAAACAGCGGCAAACAGTAAATGAGATGTGGTAGTGTGGCACAGCAGTTGTGCCAGCGCAAAACTAACACGACAGCTTTTTTTTCTAGCAGTTAGTGCAGTGCATACTAAACACAGCACCATTGGGGATTTTGGATTCGTGGCTGTATGCCATGTAATCTTGTGTTAAAACTATGTTACCACAGGAATATGCAAAACCAGCCAAGTTCTTCTGGGTAATCTGTGGGATGTTCATGTAAATCATCATACCTGATGCAATAATGGTTTAGTGAAAAAGTGTTCTCCGTTACTGTTCTTATTGTGATGTAAAAATACTTCAAAATGTCTAGTAATATCTAAAACAAATAATATAAACTTGTTGTGTTGCATCAGAAATTCTAGCACTTTTAAGATCCCAGGAACAGGAAGGATAAAATTCTGCTGCTTTACACTGAGTTTTCATTGCAATGCAGGAGCATTTTCGAGAGACCCTTCATGTAAAAACTTGTGTCTTAAACAGCTGTGCATACTTATTATTAGGCTCATATTCCAGGTTAGACAATTAATACTGTGTTAGAGCTCCATGGAAATACCATCTCTGATGTGCTGCTGCAGAACATATAAGAAAATCTGTATTAATTTTTGAAAAGAACAGCAAGAGTCCTTTAGGAAATTAGGATTTTCCAGTGCATTGAATCTAAACTGTGCTTGTTCATTTTTTTTTTCTGGAGAAGATTATTCTAATCATCTTCCAGGTAGAAAACAAACCTTCATGTTGCCTTGTCTGATAACAATTGACACTTGCTAAATAAAGATCTTAATCCTTCTGTGCCTACTCAGTCCAGATTTAATGTGTCGTAGCATCTTCATTCATTCAGCTACTGTAAAAGAGATTTTCCTGCATTCTACAGTACCAGGGTACCAGAGGCAGTATTTCCATGGCAGAGTCCTATCTGTCAGTGAGGATTAGTGTCTTGTAACTTTCCTTGGATAAGTTGTTAAGCTTTGTGTGGGAACACAGTTGGCACAAAATTGTGATGTGTTCGCAGGCTTGATATTTGACTTGATGTGTGGCTTCCTGTCACAGCATCAGCATGGCCATGGCTCTGAGTGAATCTGAGGAAAGGACACAGTGCAAGGCTGTGGTGGTTAAAAATTGAGTTCTCCATTGTCCTTAGTTGAGGTCAGTGCTGGTGCAGTCAGTGGTGTTAGGAGAGCCAAGAGGGACCAGTCGGTAGATGAGCACTTTGGAATGAGCTGAGTCAGTCCTTTTATTTTTGGGTCTTGAGTTTTTTGCTTTTGGCGGGAGTTCAGATGCCTATACTTTGGTGTCTTCTTTTTGACCTGAATTTCATACACAGTAACTAATCATACTCATGTCTGTCATGCATCAGTGTCAGATCTAAAATCTAGGATTCAGAGTCAGAGAATAAGATTGAAGCTTGTCTAGATAGAGAAGCTTCATATGGGAAGCAGGGATTGAAGTGTTGTATGGGGAGCCATTCATACAGCTGGGAACTGAATTCAATCCTTTCAAATTTCTAATATGTTAACAAGGAAATTTTTCTTCCCTCTATCTCTGCATTTAGTGATTTTTAAGTACAAATATGTCATTGTTGCTCAGATCCCCGGAATACAGTAGAGAACTCTCCAAGCTGAGTAT